TATGAACTTTCTAACTCGCTTTATCCATCTATTGCTAAAATATGTTAAGTATACCACTTCTCTGAAAGTTCGTAAAACTAGCTTTCTACTTTACCGCAGTGTTTTTTTATTCAGAAACCCCTTCATATCTATCAGACTGACATTTAGATAACAGTATTATTCCATTAATCTGCAGTAATATTGTTTGTTATCACTGTTGTCGAACACTGCAAAAGTGAGGCATAAAATTTAAATATTTAATGCATAAACTTAATAACACGAATGATTATGTAAATGTTTATAAAATAGTAATGTATAAAACTGGGGGTAAAACTATCAATATTATCAGACACTGTGAATATTTTATATTAATTTAGCCAGCAGACTCAAGACTGTTTCTCTCTGGAATTTATTACGGTGTATTTTAATATTAAATAATAAAATTTAAGTTAATATTGCTAAAATATCTTGTTGAAGCAGATTTCAACAAATTTATTTTTCTTTCTCACTAATTCAGGAATTAGTGTCTTTCCCTAAATTTTCTTTAAATCAGATACATTTTATTTTTCAAAACACTTGAACTTTAAATAGAAAGACTGGGCATAGAAAATTCTTCGATCATATTAATAGTAATACTGATATATACAATTTTGAGTCCAAGTTGTAAATAAACTTTTCTCTCTTGAAGTTGGCTACATCTTTGATGTTTACGCCTTATTAGGGATAAAATGGTTAGATAAATATCTTATCAGTTATTGCGTTCGCTTACCTCATTTAGTTTTGAAATAGAATCTTTTAATATAACATAGCTTTAAACGTTCTACTAAAATGCAATCCATTTAATTCCATCGTTAAAATTTAATGAAAATATTTTTTTCCTGTTTACCTTTTTTCTCAGCCTAAATCTTATCACTTTGATAAACAACAAATAGTTTCTTTCTTCCCGGTCGCAAGCTTTTTCTGCGCTTCCTGTTCTTCACAGTTTTTCTTCGCGTTCTTCACAGTTTACTTTTTCTCAAGAACTCGGTTATTTGAAAGTTGTTGCTAATGACAGAGGTTTCTTTCATTCCGTTATTGATAAAGCTTTTAGCAGATTTTCTTTTGCCGCTATAGGCAACAATCTTCCGTTAAAAACAATCTCGTAATTTTGTCATCGTCTCATGATTTTATTTTTTTCAACTTAAAAAAAATATTGTTCGTATTCTCCAAAAAGCCAAATTTTCAAGTTTCTTTTCCGCTTTGTTAATAAAATCTGCAATCCAATTTTTAGATGTCCGCTAAATTTGAGATCTTGAGAAATTTATAACATTCTTTTTACACGTAGTCTCATATACATTAGTCTAGCTTAGAGAACTCTAAATTTTAGCATAAAAGAACAAGGAAAAATTCATAAATCTTCTTCATTAATCATTGTTAGTCCCTTGGGTTATGTTACAAGAATCGACACTGTATATCGTCGACACAACGTAGAATGTACGTGGGCATAGAAAGAATCAATATTGACGTACGATGGACACGATAAAATATAAATTATGATAATGTTGTACTAATGATACAATACACATTTATCACGTGCATTAATCATTTTATTGAGTTGTAACAGACATACTAAGGATACTGCATAGGATCGAACTGGTAAAGGAAGGACACGGCGTAGGACCGATAGCGAGAATTAATACTGGCAATACAATCGATATTCGCATAGCATATACAAGGTTTATAATTAGTAAAAGCACGTAATAAAGAGATTAAAGATTTAATTAAATTATTATTTGTTAAGAGTTACGGTGCAGACTCAAAGCCGGCATAAGATCGAAATCGGTTTTAGAGTTGTAGTGCTGATCCTGTACCGGCAGTGAAGTTGTCGACTCCGCTCAGGTCTTATTTTTAAACGTCTTCAGTTTGAAACTCAGATTTCCACAGAACCTTCAAATTTTGTGCAGATTTATAGTTTATTTAATAATTTTAATTCCAGTCTAATTTTAAAAGCCCTATTTATAAATTTGTTGACTTCTTTCTTCCCTTAAATTCTGCTGTACATACAATCCCCAAATGCCAGTACATCTTTAAGGTGGAAGGTACTTGTCAGATTCTTTTCAAATTCACAGAACTTTTTTCTAAAACTGACCCTCATATCCAAAATTTGAACTTATCCAATTTTAGCTTAACTAACGCTAGTTGATGGAAAAAATACGCAGGATTGAATTGTTTTGGAGAAAAGGATGCTTCCTTGGAATAGCATTTTGAGAAAAATGATCTTCTATGAGTTACTTATAGAATAGCTTAGGGTCCTAGATTTTAGAGGACTTTAAATCGTCCTATAACTTCTAACCTTGTTGTTTTCCTTCTGAAAATAATAAAAATAAACATTGAAGGCCCCTTGAGAGAATATTATGTCTAAGATAAAATTTCAGACTCCACACATCCTTAATCGCGCCATTGATTCGGTCAGCATCATTTCGAGCAGTCTTAATGTTTCAAAATAGTATCTTGATCTCATCTTTGTGGTAGATCGTACATTTATAATTATTGATGGTATTTATGATACAATTTCACCTGATTTTTATCAACTTTCTGGGTATCTTATATGCCCCACATTTAAAGTGAACGGCAAATCCACTTTGTTGATGAGTTTTAATGATCATACGCAGGGGGATAAAAGAGAGGGTTGAATTTTTTGAACAGAATCTGAATTTTTCACTATTCAAAAATCATGTACACTTCTTCGTTGCTTTAAAATATAAAACGTCAATGTCTAGTAAATGATAAGAGAACGCCTAGAACGGCATGTTGCACCTGTGTGTACACCAGATGAACTGTGGTTATTTGTGGAGGCAAGCATGGGTTACCTTTTCTCCAAAATACATCCAAAGCCTCTTTCAGTAAATGCCGCGGCTTGTAGGAGCAGTTCCTGAAAAGCCTGGAGACAACACTCATTACTGATTTTTTTCGTTTTCTTCACGTCAAAGAAAGCTGTATTTCAAATAAATTAACATTGATGCTATGTGTAATCTCTGAAATAAAGTTGGTTTTTGGAATCTCTTGTACTTCTTGTACTTGCATTTTGGATGTCGAGCAATGTACACAGTATGACCTGATTTCTTATTGAATTTCAGAATCACGCGCTCACTGTTGTTCAACTACACTGCTGTTTAAAATTAAGATAATTTTCACATTAGTTGATTATCTCCAGAATGGATAGACTAGATTTTAATGACATTTGATATGGTCATAAGTTGATAAAATAAAATAAAAAATATACCTCACTTACAGTCATAGTACACACACATGAGCATGCGTAAGGCACACTGACGCAGGAAGATCTAAAAAAGATTGCTAGATCAAAGAATATGTATGTATAGACTTTCTTTGGCTAGATCGAACACAAAGTGAGGCGAATATGGAGATGGTCACCTCTATCGTAACTTCATACTGGAACTGAAGCAGTTTATAAATGGCTGTGGCCAGTCTATCCCATTCCTGAAGTACCATGTATACAAGTCCTGTAGTGTTCTGAAAGGTGAAAGCGACTTGCAGCTACCCACTAGGCATGTTCTATAGGGTTTAGGTCTGGATATCTGATTAATTACGGAGGTGCACTCGAAAGCTGTCTACCTTTGAAGCGAGATACCTTTGTTGGAGACTTTCAGAGGTAAAGTTAGCTAATGTTTTCTTTGTGTACCGTAAAAACAAATCAGATGTCTGTAGAAATAATTCTACAGGCCTACATACAACAAATTGCGTATGCGGATTTTGTTGCATCTCTAATCTTGTCCAACACACGTACTCCTAAATGCAGATGTCTTCAGTGAGACCGAAAGAATCAAGAATTAAATAGAGTTAGGTTAATTGACGAAGCAAAACTCTCCAGAACCGTCTACCTGAAAGGATAGATGCCTTCATAAATTTCTTTCCTAGTTGAAAAAAAAACACAAAGAGATGAAAGAAATGAAATGTAAAACTAGTACAATCCCGAAATCTCCCAATTAAAAATGTATTTTGAGCGGAAATGATTTTGGATTTTTTTTTTCTAAAAAACTTTCTGTTGTACTAAATATATATATACAATAAACGAAATCTTTCCAAAGATTAATTTTAATTAATTCAAAAATGAACTGTAGCTTAAAGAAGGACATAATTAAACAGTATTTTTATGACTGGTAAAATACCTCTACAGAATAATTCTTAAATTTAGCGCATTTTATATTTCTTATATCGTACATAAATTCTGCGTAGTCTGAAACCTTTTTGAACTTTAATTAAGCTGAGTGTTATCGGTTATTTTAAACCATTCCTGTTATTCTGCCTACTCCCAAGAATTTCACATTTAGAAATTTTCTGCGAAATTTAGCCAAATTAAGCGGATGTTAGATAACATATTTTCTTCTCTGTGACTAATTAAAATTAACGAGAATCGTGTAAAAATCTTACTTTTATTGAACTTGAATGAAAATTTGCAGTTACGCTAAAACAATAAAAAACTTGTTATTAAGTCTTGTAAATCTTGCCATTAATGGAGATTAAATGAGGCCTTTCTTTGCTTGCCTTTCATTTATTCTAAACGTATTCCTCCTCCTGAATTTTGTGATATTTGTCGTTATTGATAGATAAAACATATTTTTTTACAGATTGTCAACTGAAATGTTGTCTTTTTTAATTTTTTATAGAGGATTAAAACTCTATATTTAAGTCCCCTATAAATGTCTGAAAACAAATATGTCCTTACTCTACCCTTTTTGGTAAATTCGTAAAACGTCATTGCCTAGAGTTGAATTATTTAAGCCTTTTCTAAGTAAGTTTTTGTAATTATGTGTATATAAAATTATTTTCAAATTATGTTTATTCAATAGGAATTTTTCACATCAAAATGCTTCTGAAAAATAAAGAATTAGAATCATTCATCTTTCCCTTCAGGTCTTCTGAAAACCAATACTATATTTTTGATATTATACATCACCATGTAATATTAGTTTTCTCTTTCCCTAAATACCAAACTTAAACTATTGTTTTTCTTTTTCTAGGTGACTCTACAAAATATTGACCTCACTTGTGGGCAAATGAAGATCTATCTTTTAGTTAAAAAGTGTTAACTTAATACACATCACAAGAGAAAGAAATAGACCCCAATTAAAGTCTACATTGTTTCCTCTTTAATCCGAGAACGCAATCCTTACGATTTGTACATTGCAACAAGCCCTGCAAGGGACGTTTTTTCAACCATAGAAACAATTTTTCTGCTGTCGTTGCAAGATACCTGACGTCACTGAATAAAATGTGTGTGTTTTTATTCCAATAAATATTGTATTTGTTAGAATTTATCATTTATTGTATTGTCAGGAAAGTTAACGCCGTAGTATGCTGACAACACAGTGAGCAATCGTTTTGCTCTTTCCTTAACTTCTGGCGATTTCAAATATGGTAATCATTCACACTTGTTCATGACATCATTAAAATTCTTTTACATGGATTTAAAGATGTGTGAAAGGCATAACTGATATAAAAGTTGATTGAGTAAAAATTTGTAGTCATGCTAAAAACAAATATATTTGAAAGGCAAAGGCCAAAAAAAAGGTTTATTCTCAAACAATAGCATTTTGTGTATTATTTTCTAGAAACACGTACTACTGTACGTATGTTTTAATTTTTAAAAATGTTTAACTGTAAAATCTTCTTCAAGAATTTGTAATCCAATATGAAGTTTGCAGACTGGAGTATTTTTAACTACGTTAATATAGTTAAATAAAAGTCAATTTCCCTAAAACGTTTACTCTAGTAATTAATTTCTTTTAGATGCTTGTTTGTTTAATCAGTCACTGCAAAGTAGACAAGGGCTATCTGCCTAAGCAAAGAAGTTCATTGGAAAGCGTTTCTAAAGGAAAGTGGCTCGTATTCACGTTAAAAATGGGAGAATCGAAGTCACCAATGTAACCAGCCTGTTGCCGTAGTTCAAACCCTAGTCGAATTAACAATATCAAAAGTCTTATTCACACAGCTATTACATTTTTTTAAAAATTTCATGCTCCCCTTTTTCATACACGGGAAGCGAGGAATGCTCCGTGGAAGACCTTCTAAGGGAATATCAACGTTACACATAGGGGAAACCAAGAAAATGCCCATTCAGTCAGTCCGTTCCCCGGGACTCGAACCCTGGACCGATCTGCGTATTAAGTGGATTTCACTGCTCGGCCTGGTGAGCTCAGCTACTGATTGGCAATTTTTTACATGGTGCAGTCATCCAGGTAAGATTAGGTTAGGTTATTTGAATGTGTAAAAGCATAAGGAGAGTATCTGCTTAGGGGAAAAGAGGCCCTTGTAGAAATCTTTCAAAGGATTTGTATTCACACCACACATGGGGAAAACACAAAACGAACCATATAACCAGTCCTTCCGTGCTCGAACTCGTCTCGAACTACCATTATTCAGTGGTCATAAACACTTGTCCATTGGTGCGTCCACTCCGTCTTTAGAAAGGCCTAGGGAGGAAAAAGTGGGATTAGGTAATCTATTTTATAGCCCCTTTTCTGACTAAACGTTAAATCTCAGTAAATATAATAAAAAATAAATGAAAAAACAGTACTAGAAAAACTATAGATTCCTAAAACTATGTTCATCTGAATACTCAGGGAGCCGACCAGCGGCCGAGCTGCTAAGTCGCTGAACAGTAGTAGTTCGCGACTCGAATCCCCGCGAACGGGCTGGCTGCATGGGTGTTTTTGTAGCTTTCTCCATGTGTAACGTGTATAAGAACCAGTTTCTCTTAGTCCTCTACGAAGGCATCCCTCCCCTTAGGCAGATAGCACTCGCCGGCTTTGCCGTAATCAAATACACCACACACTCCCAAATACTCAAGATTCATTGAAAGATGTTACCCATTAATGACCTTTGCACTCAGCAAATTATGATCTACAGCTAAACAAAAGTTTCGTTGATAGAAATTTTATTGATCATGTACTGTGTTGAGTACATTCTGTTGTAAATATTATACGTAAGGTTATTTCATTTTATTGATGCTTACAAACGTATATGATAAACAGACACGGATTCAGAGAATTCAGTAATGGTTTCGTTTTCCAAAAAAATTCCAATATTTATTAAGGACGCTCAATGTTCTTTGTTCTTAAAAGGGCTCATTTACAAACTGAAAACTAATGATACTTCAGTGTGCTTAATGATAACGCAAGTTTTTTTAAATTTTTACCTGCCTCCTAATTTGATTTTTACGTGCTTAAAGTTTTAGTTGATATATAAAATGAAAATAAACCTAGTGTAAATGAAAAAACGTTTTATATACAGTTTATTCTTCCCTCAGTTATATTCCCAAGAGGCTAAGATGAAAAATTTACGTTCAAAGTGGGCAAATGACTGAAATTTAAATCCAATCCTTAGAAAAATCAGTTTCCTAAATTTTGGGTCAGTTTATAGTTCATATTCTACGAAATACATTCCATAAAATTCTTTTCGATATTATAATCAGAGAGTATACTAAAAATGTGTTCTTTAACGTCTATACGCAACTTTACATTAAAATTTAAATTCAGATTTTCTTGGTTTTGAAGTTTTAATTAATTAAAATTATTCTGTTGCTTAGAACATATAAATTCAGTGAAATGTTCCGAAACTTTTTTTGCTTAGTACTAATAATATGTATTAAAATATCTGTGATCTGGTTAACTTGCCTGAGTTGTTCATGAAATGTTAAATTTTTTTAATTTATAAAACAATTTAGCAATTTAAAACGTCTCCCAACAGTGATAGTTATTAGCGACGCTGACTGCCCGGGTTCGAATCCCGGAGAAGGTATGGATGTTTGTAAACGAATAGTGTCTGTGCTGCATGGGGGCACTCCCAAATATGCGGCGATCCGAAAGTCCTCTTGAAAGGATTGTGTTAGGCGAAGAGTCATTTTTTTTCCTCTTTGACAATTGGGGGGGGGCGAACTGAACAAAGTCGTACTGTCGCCTATATAGTGCTCTAGGCTCTTATCAACGGCAGGTACAATCTTGACCCTTGCCAAGATGAATGTCGAGGGCTTGCTCTGATATCAAAGACCTGATCTGATTTTACTGTCGACTAGGTGGGATAAGCCACAAACAAGCAAACACAGTTTAAAACAAACAATGAATTAACTGAAAAATCAAATCAACAGAAATATTCGAAATAAAATTAAATCTAAAGTCAGTATATTCAATCTAAAATAAGATACTAATTAAATGCCTAAGGACACAAAATAATATATTATATTCATTTTTTACAATTAACTAATTTTAGCTCATTTTCTGGAATTTTAACTGAAAATTCCCATTTTTGAAAGTATCATTGATCGTAATTTTCTGTTGCCCTTATGCTGTTTCTTGACGAACTGACCACACGCCAACAGAATTTGCCTCAGGAAAGAACGCCTTTGGGGTGGACTTCAAAGAAAAACTAGCCAGAATTCATGCTATACATGTAGAAAACCAAAAAGAAAACCTTGCGCAACTAGCCTGTTCTCTGAGAATCGAAAGCAGAACGAACTGTAAGATTTAGGTTGCGACAAAGCATTCGAGAGTTATCTGCCACAGAAAGGCCGTTATGAAAGACTTTTTAAGGAAAATTCACTCGTTTTTCCTTGAAAATTGGCTCGAATTAAGGGAAACAAGAGTGAAGGAGTTAGCGGCCAAGGAGCTATAAGACCGCTGTGCTCTTGCCTTTCGAGGCCCTCTGGTGGAGCGGTAAAGTTTTTTTTTTTTTTTTTTAAAGCCCAAAAGGCGTTAGCCCAGAAGGGCTATTAATTTCGTTTTGGCATTTTGTGTTGATTCACTTTTCAAACTGTTTCCACCAACTATTACAGCCCTTTATTATATTTAAAGAAATTAAATAATAAAGAATCTACATAATGTATAGATGTTTAACAACGGTACGGTTGTTAAAATTTTAAAAAACAAGGAATGCAGACTTTACAAGGAGTTCATGAAAGTTATGGCATTCCAATATAGTTTACTTGTCTCACCACGTTTCTGAGACTTTTTATCTAGTTCTGAGCATATAAGAAGATGCTCTGCATTCATGATGCTCGAATTGCAAATTTGGCATATACTAGATGGAAGGATGGCAAATTTATTAAGATGATGTGCCATGCAATTGTAACTTGTTAGATGTTGAAATAATTACAATGTTTCTGAATTAAGACTACTTTTGTCATCCGCGGGATAAAATAATGAAAGTTTTATAAAAAAATTGTATGTAATTTACGTAATAAACAGCATATCGAAAAGAGTATTAATCCAAACAGCAGAGCTGCATGCAAGGAGAGAGAGGTTCAGGTATGTGTGCATATCATTCATAAAAAATTATTGAAATCTTACATAAAATAAGTCTATTTTTAAAAATTTTTCTTTTTATATCCCCCCCCCAAATTATCCAGCTTTGTACTCCTAACCGAAACGAAATCCTGCGTGCGGTACAGCACCACATATAAAACTCAACCGCTTTATAAAACCAAATAAGGTCAAAACGAACGTAATCCTAATAAGCGGTCCCCACTGTATTTTCAGAGTTATGGGATCCTGGCATTAAGTAAAGCTACGTTAATGAGCATGATATGGGACTTGATTTGAAAATGGATAAACAATGGCGATACAACATGAAAAATTCTGCGAAGGATTTAGGCTTTTTATAAGCTATAACCGTAACTTGTATCTGTTGATTATCTAACTAAATAAAGAGCGGTTTGTTCTTTGAAACGTCTGCCGATATGGTTGGTTCAAGTTTGGCGGAATCGCTGCCATATTTCGTGATTCACGAGACTTCATAATGATTTAGATATTTTATTTTTATGTTTAATTTAATTATCTACAAAAATACTTCAGTGTTGAAGTCTGAAACTCAATTTTTTTTTTAGAAAATTTACATGGAACTACTGTTATATACGCCCTCGCTTGCCGACAAAATTCTCGCCAAATATTTTTGGCGAGAAACTCCACTGTACATTATTATTATCTAATTTTTTTGCCTACATTTCGAACGTTAAACCTAAAATGTCTCCAAAAACGCGGTTTTCGCACCTGCAAAAACCACGTTTTGAACACACAATTTAAGCTAGAAATCCGAAACAAAAACAGAAAATATAGATAGCAAAAACGTAAAGTTTCTAACCAAAAATATTTGACAAGAATCCATGTATACAGCGATATGCTTTAACTTTAAAAAAAAATCTACGAATTGCACAATCTAGGCAGCGAAGGAATCTACGAACATCTCGCTTTAATAAATTAACATAACAACAATAAATTTTAAAGAATACCATTTACACAGCTTTCTGTTTAAACTTAAAAAAAAATCAAAGAATTGCACAATCTAGGCATTGTGCACAAATCAACAAAATAAATTACAAACAATTCAAAAAACAACAATAACAACAGATATTCATAGTAAAAAAACAATGAACATAACATTCTACAAAATAAAAACAATAAAATAAAATGTACTTACCATAATGAATGCTTCTTCGGACAGCAAAACGTAGCTTTAACATACCGCCACGTACCCTCTGTGGTATTTATATGACAGCCAGACTCGATACCCACAAAATTTTGTACTATGGTTCACAGATAAATGTTCAAAACCTTCTTTTCCTAAATCATTTAAATTTTTGTAAGATGTAGGATTTTACTTTGCACACAATCTAAAATACGCGACTGATATCTTGCCCCCACGTCTCTCATTGCAACATAGGCCATTTCGAAACACGCATGATACGAATCAACGAGCAAATAAA